CGATTGCAATAAAAAGAAACCGTGTATAATATGTAATAGGCCTATCTCCGTAATAACTCGGCGGTTACTTCGGCCACGGTAGATCTTACCGATAATTTCGAAGACAAAGCGCCACGTATGCGCCATAGTTGACCGGTCTAGGTGTCTATATTGCATATACTCGAGGAAGAGCGAGGGAAGATTCGCGACACCGCGTCGTATTCGCGCAAACGTGACACAATCTTTGACAAGAAAATGCCAACATCTAGAATGATCCTTTCGTAACCGTCATACCCTAATGCATAATGTCTCCGCCATTTATACGTTACGGAAACGACATAATTAATGTCGCTATACTTATCAAGAAATTATTATTGGAATTTAATGGAACGAGAAAGTTGTGTGTGTGTGTGTGTGTGTATGTGTGTGTATGCATGCACCGGAAATAGATTAACGTCGTCGGTGATCTGATTTGTTGAAAGACACATCCGACAAGATGTTATAAAATAGAAAACGCGGAATATACTTTGTCAAAAAATAAGAGTAATAACAAGCACAAGTGACGTGAAACTAATACGATAGACATGATTGATTGATTAAATATGAAATATAATGTTAAAAATAATATAACGAATAATAATTCAATATCAATGTTCACTTTAATATACGTTCATTTTAAAATCGATTCTTATTTCTGAAATATTGGAAAGAGTTGAGTTCTCTTTTATTAAACGTTTTATAAATTAATGAGAAATTTTACAAAATTAATGTACAGGAGAGAAGCATTCTATTTAATAAATGAATATTCAATTCTACTATTGACACTAGCTTTTTTCCTGAGCACGTTTAATCAGATGAATTGCTTCGCGAGTAATTAAAATATAATATCGTTTCATTAATGTTTTTTTTCTTTCTCATCTAGTTTCTATTTACAGTTTTTTACTCTTTGCCTCATTTTATCGCTTAATGTTTAATTTTTATCAAAATTTAATATATTAAGTATATTATTTTACATATATTTATTTTTCTCTAGTCATTTTTCGAAGATAAATCTTATATAATACAAACGCTTATCTCCTTTCCTCTTTACTTTCGATTGCCTCGAGAAGACCGAAGACTCTGCAGATCATCTGTGGAATAACAAAGTTGGCGATGCAGTATCGATCGCGTATCGGCCATTTTTGCCTCGAAACATTTGTAATAATTAAATTAATTCCGCCGGGACTCGTTTGGTTTCGTAGATTGCTCAACGAATGATTGATGAACGTTACATTCTCATTACGGGCCGCTACTGTGAGAACACACGTAATACATAGGTAAGAGCACGCCCGTCTATATTACGCTTATATACGCTTATTTAGACATACAGGGGTACATATATGTATCTTTACGTCCCTCGCGGTGTACAGACTGAAATCATTAAGAACAGTTTACTCGGTCTTTCATTAGTCATCGTCATATTTAATGCGTCATTTGATTTTAACCATCGATGCCGATTATTTTTTTCCTATATCGCTTTCTTTCGCGGATACCAAGTGCATCTCGTGCGGCTTGTTCGATGATCATTCCCGGCTTTGCTCTTCCGCACAACCCCGTCTGGGTTGGTTAAAATTTATTAGTTGATGATTATTGTCCAACACAGATTATTCGACGGATTATTGTCACTATTGTTGTATTTAATTATTTAATTTATCACTGCCTCATTAAAAGCAGCTGGGCTGTAGTGCTTTTAACCCATGTGACGTTCGTCTTTTGCTTTTATTGTCCAGTCGAAAACATTCGTTTCGTTCGTCGTCTTGCTCATCTCAGGAATAACTCATGAATAACAAGTGCACGTACTGCGATTTCCAGAAACCAGAACTTCGCATGTTAGGCGTGTTTCGCGTGCCGAGTGTCTTCACTTTCGGAATCGATGGAACCGCGATTTCGGGTATGTCATAAGAAGCGACAGACGTATCTCGTTCTCGCCGCTGACATATTTGCAATGTCATTTACAACAGTATTAATTATTTACCGCCAACGCTTCGAAACATCGACATATCTAAATGCAAGCGAAAATTCGATTCAAGAACGTTTATTTTCGTGAAAATTTAATTCGTTAATAAGATTGTCAAGTAAGCGACACGAAACATGCGGATATTTATCATAAATTATTTAAACATATAAATATAAATATATCTTGATACATATGTTCAATTATTAAATATTTTGAATTAAAATATATTGAATTATTAAATATTTTGATTTAAATATATTGAATCAAAATTATATTCAGTATCATTAAATATCTTAATATATATTAAATTAAAATTATATTAAATCAAAATGTTTTTTAATTCTTCGTCAATTTATAATTTATTTACAGAGTTTTATATATCCTCAAATTATTCGAAAAAATATTGAAATGAAAAATGAGTTATATATGATGCCGAGATAACGGGAACTGTGTTTAGATTCTAGTTTTATAATACGTTAATGTTTGCTTAACGCGATGAATTGTAAAGCCTCTTATTCATCGGACGGTTACTTCGCTGAACGTTGCAGTTTTACAATGATTTGAATAGCCCTGCTCTTTAAAAGCACCGGTAAACTCCGTTATAAATTATTGCGAGAAGCGTAATGTAATGTGCGCGGATGTGTTACGTGTAATTTGTTAATCGCGCTGTGGTGTTACAGTTACACTCACCGCCGGTGTAACCGTCGGCCGTTCGAAGAGTTGCGCTATTAGCGTTGTATCGTGTTTCATGACACGAACCATTTGTTTGATCCTATGACGGGTATACTATGCGCGGACAAGAGGCGAGCTTTTCATTGTCGACGTGCGCACGAGTATTCCCACGTTTCGTCGAGAGGCTGTTGCCGAGAAAACAATCGCGCTGTAATATTGTAAATCTGATCTGCCGCACGATTGTTTCGGAAATTCGATATTGACGCGAACGCGCGATCCGATCACTGGCCGTTATAAAACGATTCTCTTTTCATGCAGCTAAGAGAATCATCTCCTCTCTTCGTCGCATTGTTTTACCCCGCGATTTTTTAATTATTATAGTAGTGGTTTGCATGTGTGAGAACACTGCATATCTGTCATACTTTTAGAGACAATGAAACGGATTTAACGTTTTACATAACAATTTTCTATATTGAATACAATTTTGTAATATTCTTTTGTACTTTTACTTTTTTTATTTGTATTATTTTACATTTTAATAAAATTTGGAAAATTTAATTTATTTTATATAATTATTACATATTAAATCTTTAAAAATTTTCAAAAAATACACGATAACATATACATATATATCTTTATTTTTCATAATTGATAATACTTTCATTCTTGATATGTAAAATAATATCGTATATACTATTTGAAATCAGAAGTACTGCTACCGTGCAAAAGTCTCGTTTTTGATATCGGTGCTCGTCCAATTGGATCGCAAACTATGAGAATGGGTCTCTTCCGTGATTGACTATTAATTCCGTTGATCATTAGACGATCGGAGGTGTGTCACAGAGAAATTAGACGGCGCAAGGTATACAAGCAGACAGACCGAAGCCGGTCGAATCTCTCGTGGGAACTGGTCGTGATTAGTCTACGTCACTACCGACGCTAGTTATGCTAATTGCGCTTAAGTACTTTGGCCTGCTATCAGCATCGACTATTGAAACTGCCGCTGAGTAAGTCACGTACTAAGACTAGACCTTTATCCGTTGATTTCGCCCGTCGATATCGTGCGTAGTTTTCGAAAAAATTATAGTATACTACATTAACTCGATGATCTCGGATATGACAATCGGCGATGCTGCGTGGGTGAAATTATACTCGCGCAGCTTCTAAGTCTCGTCAAATCGAATCCCACAGCTGGGCAAAATAATATCCGCAAAATTGCCACGTTGCAACGATGCATTATACTAATATTCATTTACGCCAACACATCGAAATATGTATAAATTAAACGTTAGAATGATTTAATACGAAGTCTCTCTCTCTTGCTCAGATTATTTTTCATACCTTTCCTGAATATCTCAGAGTTAGAGAAGAGCGGGAACACCTACGCGAGTAAATCGTTGACTCTCTAAAACACACAATCATTTTAAAGTGCACATTTTATATTAGATGTAATAATTTGTTAGAAAATTGAGAGAAGGTCTTTGTGATTTTATATTCAAGATTATATATACCGCAAAACATTTTTACACATTATTCAAGATGAATCTTTTATCCCGAACAAAATATTTATCCTTTATTATCGTAATTTATAGCTTATTATATTTATATACAAGTATTGAACTGTGTGAAATGCATGAGTAGGTTAAATATTATATAGCATTACATTCGCACATTTAATTAAATATTCGTATTTTAAAACCAACAAATTTCTCTTTGCGTTTCGAAAAAATTGAATACATTTAAGGATGTTTTGTAACCTATTTTTAAAATATTGAGAATTTAATGAAAATTGTACCGAATGTTCTTACATATGTTTAGAATCTTCAGTACAATTTTTAAATCGATTCACTAAAGCGTTCACAAATTATAAGGATTTTAATCTGCACCGAGTTAACATGTGTTCTTATGGGAAACGTATAACCACATCGATTCAAATGACAAAAACACATGGAAATAATATTCAGAATTTGTTTAAAATTTGCAAATGTTTAGATACAGAGGAAATATTTGGTCAAATAATATTATACAAGTACTAATTGGTTAAAAAGATAAAGATTAAATATAATTCAATGAAGTTAGCCATGTATCTGTCACAAGGCGAAATTCTCTGCCAAAAGTTAATCATTTCGATGAACAAAATTCGGAATATTTCAATAAAAACGCAATAAATATTAAAAAATAGATCAATTTCTTACTCAAAATACACAAAAGTGGATATATTCGTCAATATTGATTTTCAGCTACTTTTTACTGGGATTGTACATACAAAACATCCTTAAGAAAGTGATAGATCACAGACATTTGTTCTTTTTGTATGACGAAGGTGTATTAATAACATTTTCTTTTATCGCAGGCGGCGGGACCGCCGGTGCAGCTGGAACCAGTGGACCTGTCCGTGAAAACTCCAGTGGTGTTGCAGGTGCCGCGGTACAGTCCGGCAGCGATAATTAACGCCGCCGCAAGAAGAGCGCCGTCACCTTCGACGACGCCCACGCCACCGCCTCTACTGCCGCCGCCGCCGTCGCTCTGCGCATCTACCGGTAAGCGCTAAGGCTCCATTACTACGAAAATTTATGCTAGGTTTCCTTGCCGTGTACACGCATATACGCTTGGAATTTAAATCGAATCTTGCGACACGTGATACGATCGCGGTATATTGCCCCCGGGGGTACAGCTCGAAAGAATGTATTTGCACTTGTTCACCGACTTGTAGTCGCTTGACAAGACGAATTCTCGTTCATGACTACGTCACGATTGCGGTTTCCGTGATACGTGTTCATGATACACATTTCGCTCTTTACATTTTTCTTGCAATCAATTTAAAATCGGAATATTTACTTTCCATAATTTACGATTTATTACGATTATTTAATTTTATGAAAACTTCCCGCGTACGTACGTAGTAAAAAAGAAGAATAGAAAGATTTGTAGACTCGAGTAATTTCTTATTTTTCTGATTAAAATCTACTTCGTTAATTTCTAATTTCTTCTAATTAATATCTACTTGATTAATTTACAAACTCGAAGGCATACACCTACCTGGCATTCGTTTAAAATTCCACGGATTTTACAAGGCAGTGGAATTTGATATTAACAGCACGTATACAAAATTACATTAGCTACCACTCAGCCCGACTATATATATTTAACTTTAAGTCGTATTTATAATTGATTCTTAATAATTATTCAACGTAAATCGTTTAATGTATTGGACGATGATGCAGCTTGCATTTAATTGCCGTATTATATATATGAATTATGCAATATAATTTAATTTCCCAGATTTCAAGCCTCTCTTTTTGTCAGTTTCAAACTAATGATTTACAAATATATGTATAATTCATTCGTGCAACGCAACAAGGGTGATTTTCAAAAATATTAAAATCAGACATGAATTCGTTTTTCTCGCGTTTCAAAGCCATCGGCAGAAACGAACCGTGTAATTTAGCCTTTACGCAGCCGCGTACAGGTGCGGCGCACCGGTACAGGTGCAGATGCAGCACGCGCAGACAACGCTACGGCACGAAACTGTGGCCTCGACTCTCGCTTATGGATAAATCAGAGAGATCCTCGGCGATTGCGTTGCTTTATGGGTTAATTATGTTGGATTTTTTCTGCATACCGCGCGCGGACGAGTCCGTTGATTGACTATTCTATGGAAAATCCATGCGCGTAATAGGCAACTCATATGTCGCGTACATATGTTGCATACGTTTAAGGAGCGGCCTATGGATAATCGTTAAATTCCTCGTCGTTACTACTGCGCGAGGTAGTACTCGCGAATATCGGTGAATAAATTACGAATTTGTTCCGAGTATTCAACAGTTGATTACCGAATGCGAGTTTCTTTCTTTTTCGATATTAGATTTCGATTTAATAGGAAATGAATATTATTCTATTGTTGAAATTCTTTTGGCAAATTTATTTATTTTTTCAACCATTTTCTACATGATACAGGTCTAATACAGGTTCAACTTGGTTTAATTCGCATAAAAAATTAAAAACTTTATTTTATCTAACTATTTTCAATAACTCAAAATTTGTTAAAATATCCGGAAGAAAGTGAGGTATAGTTATATAAAATAATTTGTTATATAAATATAAAATATCTTGTATAAAAAGACGGAGAAAACAACTGGCCGCAAACTTTTTGAGGAACCACTCTGATTTGCACGCCGATAATCACGCGATTACGAAATAATAATCCGAAGCGCGTAGACAGATGTTCGATCTGCCTTGAGGTCCCAAGGTCGATGCGTCCATCGCCGATTCGCCGGCGATTAAAGAAACACGGAGAGAAATCTGGTCTCGTTGCGAGAGTCGCCGCGGGCAGAATTGCAGCGCGAGTATATATGAGGGGGAAAAAAACCGAAAGAAGCCCGTCGAAATCATCTTGAAACCGTAATCGTCCCGATAAAGAGAGGAGGCGAACTGCAAAAAGTCTCTTTGGCGCGCGCGTTTTAGCATGTCAGGCGACGTTCGATGGTTTAAGCCGCAAAATTATTGGCGCAGTTATAATAGTTGTACGCGCCGCGCCTTTTTTTATCGTGCTTAAAAAAAAAAAGAAAGAAAAAGAGAAAAAAAGACAGAGAAAAGAGGCGGTCTCGAGATGGCAAAAACGACGGGAAAGAAACACGGCGCCGCGACTAGCACGAGCGTTCGGGACTCTAGCAACGTTCACTTCCATTTCTGGATTAATGATCACGCACACCTGCGCAGAGCGGAATCCGAATACGATTGGGGTCGCAACCCGTAGTCCTCGCCTGCGGGCCTCGTCATCGTGATCGTAGATATAACCGGTAGCGGATAGATAGGATTATTTTTGTCGCGCGTTTACGCACCTGACTCTCTCTTTCTATCGCCCGCTCGTGATCGGTATTTTTATGCGAGCGAATCTTTCTCTCTCTCTCTCTCCGCGCGAAATTGTCTTCTTGGAGTCGGTGATTTACGCCGTTGGAAAGCGGCCGGTGATCGTTTTACCAGCGCGTTAATCCTTTCGCGCCTAATGGGTACGTTTATGCTATAAGGAAAATAAAGTCTGACAAACGTTGTTATAAAGCGTACGTTCGCGAATTACGTAAACACGATTGCTACTTATTAAAAAATAAGCGAGACCATTCGTATGTACGGGATATCTGAGACTCGATACTCTCTCATTAATAACAGGCGCGGAAAACGATTTGTGCAGCTCAGCGTTCCCAGCGATGCGATATGTTTTCGTTCAGCACACTTTCCTTTAAACCATTTCCGACAAGCAAAAAGGTGCGCATTAATGACACATTCTGTTATCAATTTTACACGTGGCAGAACCGTAGGAAAAAGTCGCGCCCTCTCTCTATATGAAAAAAAATTCGATACGAGCTCGATGAAAGGTTTATGTAACACATCACGTTAGCATACGCGCATAAAAAGTCACGTCACGTCGGGTTAAAGACCTTTGTCCGGCCTGGAGGGTCCTCGCTGGGAACTCACTTTACCTCGTCATGCGTAAAAACGGCGGCATCGCGCTCGTGCGGCCATGTATCCGCGGCACGTGACATTCCCCGCCGAGACGGAAACGGCGACCCTCGAGGTGATGTCGTTGAGCGAGACGCGGGTCGGGAGTAGTCGGTGGTCGATGTTATACATCCTTCGGGCCCGACATCGACATCCCATTGTTTGGCATCGAAAACTCCGCCGATCGCCCGCGGCGATATATAACGCGGAACGGATATTAAAGATCGCCGAGTTGCGCCTGGCCTTTTCCTTGACTCTCCGCGTCCGCGATCGTAACTCGCTCTTCGACCGCGGCTATCGGAAAATTCCGATCGTGCGTGGATGCCATATACGCACCGCAGACACGAGTCTCGGTCGCGTATACGTCGCCGTCGCCGATCGTGTGTTGGACACCGCATTTCGCGAGTCTGATGCAATAGAATCGAACTGCTGGCAAAATTGATGGGCGCGATTAAGCATATTTCGCTGAGCGAGTGAAATTGTTGGAATTCGTCAGAGCCGAGGAAACGTGTTTTTCAAGTATGAATTAATACACTTGTCTTGTCAATTTAGTTTTATCTTTTATCAAGTCTTATCATAATCTATGGATTATGATAAGATCGCGAAAGGTTGTGATTAAAATATGTGTTTAACTATTTAATAAAATTATTCACTGACTAAATCTAATAATTTACTAGTTTATTTCAATTTATATTAGCATATGTTGTAATAATTAAAACAGTTTAGCGAGACATTTGCATGACCGTGGCATAAACCGTTTTTTAAACAATCAATGAGTCGAGTTTTTAACTGCTTTTAAAACTGCAAAATTGTCAAAACATCAACGCTGGAGGTCTTTATGCATTCGCGGCAGTGACTAATTCGACAATCCGTGGGCGAGCGAGCCCGAAATTGAGTCGTGTGACGCGGTTCTTTGCGTTAATTAACAGACGGGCGTTAATTCCAGTCGTTAAAAAGTGCCGGAATCTCGCGGAGAAAGTCATCTCGGCCGGAGCTTTTCGTATAATTCACATCCGGGTGAGCAACGGCAATTGCAACGCGCAACTATCACCGTTTCTTTCGCGGTTTTAAGCGGAGAGGAGAGAGAGATGACGGATAGCGGGCCGTCCCGTTGGGAGTCGGCTTAAGCCAACGCTCCCAGAGTTTGATTGTCTTTGATTAATTACTCATGCTGTTTCTCGGCCGGCGGAAGCCGACGGGTAGCAATCTAGATAATGCGTAACCGTATTAAAACGGGCTCGTAATCTTTTGGTTTTTCAAGGCGAAAAAAACGCTCGAGAACAGGAAGACGATGAAATCGCTCGCTCGATTGACGTGTCATCTCGTTGTTCTGAATAGTTTTTTTATTTCCTTCATACATTATGATAATGATTTGCATCAATTTTTTTTACAACATTGATGACAACAGATCGACAAGCGAGATATTTCTTTAGCTATTAATTTTTGTATATTAATTTATCAATGCTTTCTCTTCGATAAAAAAAATTCATAAGTTATATGATGAGTTTGGAGGAGAATCTCTAATGCAAAACATACAATTTTACTTAAATTCGCGATTATATGGCTCTTGATCACAATCTGCTTGATATTTGTCGAGAGATGATTCGTTGAAGTAGTTGCGCGATAAACACTATAATTAACGACACATTGAGATTAAGCGTTATTCGATTACGCGGATTAAGTGTCTATTGAATGACGGCATCGTTAGACGCCCACGTGGGAACGACACCCGCTTATTCGGATAATAATGATGCAGTCTTTCGCGAATGATTAGAGGTAAACGAGAAGACATATTACGGGCAGGTAAGCGGCGCTCATGCCGACTCGAGGAGCGACGGAGATAGCACGTATACACACAGACGTTATCGTAATAAATTATTCTTATCAGAAACCGGGTGCGAGCTAGAGGCGTGTTTCGCTGTCCGAGATAAATCCTAGTTGAATGATAAAACGATCGAGCCGCTATTACGAATGGGAAACAGACGTATCGTGTCGCTAGATGTCATGGATAATTCATGGCGTACGAACATTATGGTCCAGTGTG